CAGCTAACGGTATCAACAGCTAACGTTGTCAACAGCTAACGGTGTCAACAGCTAACGTTATCAACAGCTAACGGTATCAACAGCTAACGGTATCAACAGCTAACGGTATCAACAGCTAACGGTATCAACAGCTAACGGTGTCAACAGCTAACGGTATCAACAGCTAACGTTATCAACAGCTAACGGTGTCAACAGCTAACGGTATCAACAGCTAACGGTATCAACAGCTAACGGTGTCAACAGCTAACGTTGTCAACAGCTAACGGTGTCAACAGCTAACGGTATCAACAGCTAACGGTGTCAACAGCTAACGGTATCAACAGCTAACGTTATCAACAGCTAACGGTGTCAACAGCTAACGGTATCAACAGCTAACGGTATCAACAGCTAACGGTGTCAACAGCTAACGTTGTCAACAGCTAACGGTGTCAACAGCAAACGGTATCAACAGCTAACGGTGTCAACAGCTAACGGTATCAACAGCTAACGGTATCAACAGCTAACAGTGTCAACAGCTAACGGTATCAACAGCTAACGGTATCAACAGCTAACGGTGTCAACAGTTAACAGTGTCAACAGCTAACGGTATCAACAGCTAACGGTATCAACAGCTAACGGTGTCAACAGCTAACGGTGTCAACAGTTAACAGTATCAACAGCTAACGGTATCAACAGCTAACGGTGTCAACAGCTAACGGTATCAACAGCTAACGTTGTCAACAGCTAACGGTATCAACAGCTAACGGTATCAACAGCTAACGGTATCAACAGCTAACGGTGTCAACAGCTAACGGTATCAACAGCTAACGTTGTCAACAGTTAACGGTATCAACAGCTAACGGTATCAACAGCTAACGGTATCAACAGCTAACGGTGTCAACAGCTAACGGTATCAACAGCTAACGGTGTCAACAGCTAACGGTATCAACAGCTAACGGTGTCAACAGTTAACGGTGTCAACAGCTAACGGTATCAACAGCTAACGGTGTCAACAGCTAACGGTATCAACAGCTAACGGTATCAACAGTTAACGGTATCAACAGCTAACGGTATCAACAGCTAACGGTATCAACAGCTAACGGTGTCAACAGCTAACGGTATCAACAGCTAACGGTGTCAACAGTTAACGGTATCAACAGCTAACGGTATCAACAGCTAACGGTGTCAACAGCTAACGGTATCAACAGCTAACGGTATCAACAGCTAACCGTGTCAACAGTTAACGGTGTCAACAGCTAACGGTATCAACAGCTAACGGTATCAACAGCTAACGGTATCAACAGCTAACGGTGTCAACAGCTAACGGTATCAACAGCTAACGTTGTCAACAGGAAGCTTATGCAGATCAAGACTTAGACATATCTATACCCAGTATAAGACTAAAGACACCAAGACTTGATTATCAGCTAAACTTGGAAAGTCTGGATAATTAAGTTCAATTAGTCAGGCATAATTACTGCACATTAGTCACTGGTAATTAACGTCGAGGGAAATTTAAAAATTCAGTTTGAAGTCATTTCAACTGTCTATGTCTTCCCAGTCCTATTTAGACTTACCAGACCCACATTCAATTTTTTTTAAGACGTATGACCCCCAGCAACGCAATTTTAAACACAGATCCAAACTTTGCAATTTTTAGACTTGTGGATCTATGTCTCACAATGTTATACAGACTTACAGACTCTATTTTGTGCTGCTCAGCTAATACATCCAATCTCCACTGTGACTTTCATGCCTAAACTCTATTGTATATATTGTATAGCTCCAAAAATACACAGATTACATGTTTACAAACCAAACTAATTTGTTGGTGGCAGTTTATGTGAATCCGCTGATGATTGGCCAATCTGGGTGCTGCTGCTGCTAGGTGATACTGAATCTGTGTTGCAAAATGCACTGTGCTCAAATGCACAGACACCCCCCCCCCCAGGCAGGGGTAGACACCCCCCACAGAAAGAAAACTAGCAATGAAAATCACCCCAATCAATGAAAATCCTGAACAAAATTAAATCCAACTCCATCATTCACTCAAAATGCAAATAATACAATTAGAATACCTCGTAATCCCACCCCAACATACAGCATACATTACAGTAAATACAGTAGCCGTATTCAGCACCATAAGAATGTGAAACGATTAGCAGATCGCATTCTGGGTCCTGGATGACTCTGTATAACTCAACCGGTTCAAGCACTTGACCCCAAGGCTGAGTGTACCGGGGGGCAGTACCTGTGTACTGGGGTGTACCGGGGTAGTACCTGAGTACTGGGGTGTACTGGGGGTAGTACCTGTGTACTGGGGTGTACCGGGGTAGTACCTGAGTACTGGGGTGTACTGGGGTAGTACTGGGAGTTCTTCTACTGCCCAAGCCCGGCCCGAGGCCAGGCTTGACTTGTGAGAGTTTGGTCCACCAGGCTGTTGCTTGGAGTGACCCGCAGGCCCACATATACCTGGTTGATGGGGTTCTGGGAGTTCTTCTACTGCCCAAGCCCGGCCCGAGGCCAGGCTTGACTTGTGAGAGTTTGGTCCACCAGGCTGTTGCTTGGAGTGACCCGCAGGCCCACATATACCTGGTTGATGGGGTTCTGGGAGTTCTTCTACTGCCCAAGCCCGGGCCGAGGCCAGGCTTGACTTGTGAGAGTTTGGTCCACCAGGCTGTTGCTTGGAGCGGCCCGCAGGCCCACATATACCTGGTTGATGGGGTTCTGGGAGTTCTTCTACTCCCCAAGCCCGGCCCGAGGCCAGGCTTGACTTGTGAGAGTTTGGTCCACCAGGCTGTTGCTTGGAGCGGCCCGCAAGCCCACATATACCTGGTTGATGGGGTTCTGGGAGTTCTTCTACTGCCCAAGCCCAGCCCGAGGCCAGGCTTGACTTGTGAGAGTTTGGTCCACCAGGCTGTTGCTTGGAGCGGCCCGCAGGCCCACATATACCTGGTTCATGGGGTTCTGGGAGTTCTTCTACTACCCAAGCCCGGCCCGAGGCCAGGCTTGACTTGTGAGAGTTTGGTCCACCAGGCTGTTGCTTGGAGCGGCCCGCAGGCCCACATATACCTGGTTGATGGGGTTCTGGGAGTTCTTCTACTGCCCAAGCCCGGCCCGAGGCCAGGCTTGACTTGTGAGAGTTTGGTCCACCAGGCTGTTGCTTGGAGCGGCCCGCAGGCCCACATATACCTGGTTGATGGGGTTCTGGGAGTTCTTCTACTGCCCAAGCCCGGCCCGAGGCCAGGCTTGACTTGTGAGAGTTTAGTCCACCAGGCTGTTGCTTGGAGCGGCCCGCAGGCCCACATATACCTGGTTGATGGGGTTCTGGGAGTTCTTCTACTCCCCAAGCCCGGCCCGAGGCCAGGCTTGACTTGTGAGAGTTTGGTCCACCAGGCTGTTGCTTGGAGCGGTCCGAGGCCGGGCTTGACTTGTGAGAGTTTGGTCCACCAGGCTGTTGCTTGGAGCGGCCCGCAGGCCCACATACCCACCACAGCCCGGTTGGTCAGGCACTCCTTGGAGGAAACAATCTAGTTTTCTCTTGAAGATGTCCACGGTTGTTCCGGCAATATTTCTGATGCTCGCTGGGAGGACGTTGAACAACCGCGGACCTCTGATGTTTATACAGTGTTCTCTGATTGTGCCTATGTCACCTCTGCTCTTCACTGGACCTCTGATGTTTATACAGTGTTCTCTGATTGTGCCTATGGCACCTCTGCTCTTCAGGTCATTGGTCTCCATGAATCTAGTGACCTGACTCCTGGTCACACTTAAATACTTTTATGATGTGCGATGTTAGTGCAACTGGTCTATAATTCTTTGCCAATGCTTTGCTCCCTCCCTTGTGTAGAGGGGCTATGTCTGCTACTTTAAGTGCATCTGGTATCTCCCCCGTGTCCAAGCTCTTCCTCCACACTGTACTGAGTGCCTGTGCTACCGGCACTTTGCATTTCTTTATAAATATTGAATTCCATGAATCTGGCCCCGGGGCCGAGTGCATGGGCATGTTTTCAATTTCTCTTTCAAAATCTGCCACGCTCGTGTTGATATCAATTATATTTACAGGTGTTTGGATATCACGCATAAAGAAGTTGTCTGGATCTTACACTTTCATGTTGTTTATTGGAGTGCTAAACATGTCCTTATACTGATTTTTTAGGATTTCACTAATTTCTTTGTCATCATCCGTGTATGAACCTTCACTTGTACGAATAGGTCAAATACTGGCAGTGGTTTTTGCTTTTGATTTCGCATATGAGAAGAAATATTTTGGATTTTTCTTTATTTCCTGAATTGCTTTCTGTTCTAACTGCCTTTCTTCAGTCTGATATGATTGTTTCAATTTCCGCTCAATTTCTTCAATCTCCCTATTTACATTATTCGTTCTTTGACGAAAAAGTCGTGTATATTTAAGAAACTCCTGTCCCATTTCCTTATCATACCTAGTTTTAAAATGATGAATAGTATTTGCTTCCACAACCTACTCCTTAAGTGCATTTTCCCACTATCACGCTAAAAGAAAACTTCCTAACATCTCTGTGACTCATCTGAGTCTCCAGCTTCCATCCATGTCCTCTCGTTCTGTTACTATTACGTGTGAACATTTCATCTATGTCCACTCTGTCAATCCCTCTGAGTTATTTATACGTTGATTATTTTATACGTGTGTGTGTGTGTGTGTGTGTGTGTGTGTGTGTGTGTGTGTGTGTGTGTGTGTGTGTGTGTGTGTGCGGGGGGGGGGGGGCAGTGGGCAGTGCCCCGGAGCGCACCCACCAGCCTTCTGGAATGTTCGTCCACACCTCTCTCGCCCCCCCCCTCCCCCACCACCACCACCAACCACCACCACCACAACCACCACCACCACTCGGATAACAATAGAGAACAGCAGGTACAACTAGACCAATATAGACGGGTCGTAAAGAGCTAAACCACACTACCTGTAATCACTATTACCAGAACCTGAAGTCACTATAGTCACTATACCGTACATCACATTCACCATACATGCCCGTAACCTCAAGGTACTCCTCAAGATGTTGGAGGAACTCCTCAAGATGTTGGAGGAACTCCTCAAGATGTTGGAGGAACTCCTCAAGATGTTGGAGGAACTCCTCAAGATGTTGGAGGAACTCCTCAAGATGTTGGAGGAACTCCTCAAGATGTTGGAGGAACTCCTCAAGATGTTGGAGGAACTCCTCAAGATGTTGGAGGAACTCTTCAAGATGTTGGAGGAACTCCTCAAGATGAAGGAGGAACTCCTCAAGATGTTGGAGGAACTCCTCAAGATGTTGGAGGAACTCCTCAAGATGTTGGAGGAACTCCTCAAGATGTTGGAGGAACTCCTCAAGATGTTGGAGGAACTCCTCAAGATGTTGGAGGAACTCCTCAAGATGTTGGAGGAACTCTTCAAGATGTTGGAGGAACTCCTCAAGATGTTGGAGGAACTCCTCAAGATGTTGGAGGAACTCCTCAAGATGTTGGAGGAACTCCTCAAGATGTTGGAGGAACTCCTCAAGATGTTGGAGGAACTCCTCAAGATGTTGGAGGAACTCTTCAAGATGTTGGAGGAACTCCTCAAGATGTTGGAGGAACTCCTCAAGATGAAGGAGGAACTCCTCAAGATGTTGGAGGAACTCCTCAAGATGTTGGAGGAACTCCTCAAGATGAAGGAGGAACTCCTCAAGATGTTGGAGGAACTCCTCAAGATGTTGGAGGAACTCCTCAAGATGTTGGAGGAACTCCTCTCCTCAAGATGTTGGAGGAACTCCTCAAGATGTTGGAGGAACTCCTCAAGATGTTGGAGGAACTCCTCAAGATGTTGGAGGAACTCCTCAAGATGTTGGAGGAACTCCTCAAGATGTTGGAGGAACTCCTCAAGATGTTGGAGGAACTCCTCAAGATGTTGGAGGAACTCCTCAAGATGTTGGAGGAACTCCTCAAGATGTTGGAGGAACTCCTCAAGATGTTGGAGGAACTCCTCAAGATGTTGGAGGAACTCCTCAAGATGTTGGAGGAACTCCTCAAGATGTTGGAGGAACTCCTCAAGATGTTGGAGGAACTCCTCAAGATGTTGGAGGAACTCCTCAAGATGTTGGAGGAACTCCTCAAGATGTTGGAGGAACTCCTCAAGATGTAGAAGAAGCAGGAGATGATTCAGGAGTCACGGAGGAAGAAGCACATCAGGACCAGACCTGACACCACCGTGCTCTCACGCTCCCACACAAGCCATGTGGCACTCTGGAGCATGCAGGATGGAGCCGTGACACTCTGGAGCATGCAGGATGGTGCCGTGGCACTCTGGAGCATGCAGGATGGTGCCGTGACACTCTGGAGCATGCAGGATGGTGCCGTGGCACTCTGGAGCATGCAGGATGGAGCCGTGACACTCTGGAGCATGCAGGATGGTGCCGTGGCACTCTGGAGCATGCAGGATGGTGCCGTGGCACTCTGGAGCATGCAGGATGGAGCCGTGACACTCTGGAGCATGCAGGATAGTGCCGTGGCACTCTGGAGCATGCAGGATGGTGCCGTGACACTCTGGAGCATGCAGGATGGAGCCGTGACACTCTGGAGCATGCAGGATGGAGGCGTGGCACTCTGGAGCGTGCAGGATGGTGCCGTGGCACTCTGGAGCGTGCAGGATGGTGCCGTGGCACTCTGGAGCATGCAGGATGGAGCCGTGTGGCACTCTGGAGCATGGAGGATGGAGCCGTGACACTCTGGAGCATACAGGATGGTGCCATGACACTCTGGAGCATGCAGGATGGAGCCGTGACACTCTGGAGCATGCAGGATGGTGCCGTGGCACTCTGGAGCATGGAGGATGGAGCCGTGTGGCACTCTGGAGCATGGAGGATGGAGCCGTGACACTCTGGAGCATGCAGGATGGTGTCATGACACTCTGGAGCATGCAGGATGGAGCCGTGACACTCTGGAGCATGCAGGATGGTGCCGTGGCACTCTGGAGCATGACGGATGGAGCCGTGTGGCACTCTGGAGCATGGAGGATGGAGCCGTGACACTCTGGAGCATGCAGGATGGTGCCATGACACTCTGGAGCATGCAGGATGGAGCCGTGACACTCTGGAGCATGCAGGATGGAGCCGTAGCACTCTGGAGCATGCAGGATGGAGCTGTGACACTCTGGAGCATGCAGGATGGAGCCGTGACACTCTGGAGCATGCAGGATGGAGCTGTGACACTCTGGAGCATGCAGGATGGTGCCGTGACACTCTGGAGCATGCAGGATGGTGCCGTGGCACTCTGGAGCATGGAGGATAGAGCCGTGACACTCTGGAGCATGAAGGATGGTGCCGTGACACTCTGGAGCATGCAGGATGGAGCCGTGACACTCTGGAGCATGCAGGATGGAGCCGTGGCACTCTGGAGCATGCAGGATGGTGCCATGACACTCTGGAGCATGCAGGATGGAGCCGTGACACTCTGGAGCATGCAGGATGGAGCCGTGGCACTCTGGAGCATGCAGGATGGAGCCGTGGCACTCTGGAGCATGCAGGATGGTGCCATGACACTCTGGAGCATGCAGGATGGAGCCGTGGCACTCTGGAGCATGCAGGATGGTGCCGTGGCACTCTGGAGCATGCAGGATGGAGCCGTGGCACTCTGTAGCATGCAGGATGGTGCCGTGACACTCTGGAGCGTGCAGGATGGTGCCGTGGCACTCTGGAGCATGCAGGATGGAGCCATGGCACTCTGGAGCATGCAGGATGGTGCCGTGACACTCTGGAGCATGCAGGATGGTGCCATGACACTCTGGAGCATGCAGGATGGAGCCGTGGCACTCTGGAGCATGCAGGATGGAGCCGTGGCACTCTGGAGCATGCAGGATGGTGCCGTGGCACTCTGGAGCATGCAGGATGGTGCCGTGGCACTCTGGAGCATGCAGGATGGAGCCGTGACACTCTGAAGCATGCAGGATGGTGCCGTGGCACTCTGGAGCATGCAGGATGGAGCCGTGACACTCTGGAGCATGCAGGATGGAGCCGTGACACTCTGGAGCGTGCAGGATGGTGCCGTGGCACTCTGGAGCATGCAGGATGGAGCCGTGACACTCTGGAGCATGCAGGATGGAGGCGTGGCACTCTGGAGCATGCAGGATGGCGCCGTGGCACTCTGGAGCATGCAGGATGGAGGCGTGGCACTCTGGAGCATGCAGGATGGAGGCGTGGCACTCTGGAGCATGCAGGATGGTGCCGTGACACTCTGGAGCATGCAGGATGGCGCCGTGACACTCTGGAGCATGCAGGATGGAGGCGTGGCACTCTGGAGCATGCAGGATGGCGCCGTGACACTCTGGAGCATGCAAGATGGTGCCGTGACACTCTGGAGCATGCTGGATGGAGCCGTGACACTCTGGAGCATGCAGGATGGTGCCATGACACTCTGGAGCATGCAGGATGGAGCTGTGACACTCTGGAGCATGCAGGATGGTGCCGTGACACTCTGGAGCATGCAGGATGGTGCCGTGGCACTCTGGAGCATGCAGGATGGCGCCGTGGCACTCTGGAGCATGCAGGATGGTGCCGTGGAACTCTGGAGCATGCAGGATGGAGCCGTGACACTCTGGAGCATGCAGGATGGTGCCGTGACACTCTGGAGCATGCAGGATGGAGCTGTGACACTCTGGAGCATGCAGGATGGTGCCGTGACACTCTGGAGCATGCAGGATGGTGCCGTGGCACTCTGGAGCATGCAGGATGGTGCCGTGACACTCTGGAGCATGCAGGATGGTGCCGTGGCACTCTGGAGCATGCAGGATGGTGCCGTGGCACTCTGGAGCATGCAGGATGGAGCTGTGACACTCTGGAGCATGCAGGATGGTGCCGTGACACTCTGGAGCATGCAGGATGGTGCCGTGGCATTCTGGAGCATGCAGGATGGTGCCGTGGCACTCTGGAGCATGCAGGATGGTGCCGTGGCACTCTGGAGCATGCAGGATGGTGCCGTGGCACTCTGGAGCATGCAGGATGGTGCCGTGGCACTCCTTCTGGCCCCAGACACAACCAAAATAACAAATCTGTCTTGAGATCAAGCAGGATCAGGAAACTGTATGATAAGATTGCTTTTAAGATCAGCAGCGAGCTCCACTACACTGATATTACCAAGATTACACTGAGTTCTGCTGTAATTATAGACGATAGATCTGTTACCGATCGAGCTCGAATCAGATCTGCAGCCGATCAGGCTCCAAGTGGCATGATTGGTCGGTGTCCTTACTTGAGGAGCTCCTCCAGCTCCTCCTCAAGCTTCTCCTCAAGCTTCAGGAAGCACCTAAGGCGGACGCCTGCAAGGTTGGCAGCTTCACCCGCGGCCGATCGGCCGAGCGGACAGCACGCTGGACTTGTGATCCTGTGGTCCTGGGTTCGATCCCAGGCGCCGGCGAGAAACAATGGGCAGAGTTTCTTTCACCCTATGTTACCCCTGTTACCTAGCAGTAAAATAGGTACCTGGGTGTTAGTCAGCTGTCACGGGCTGCTTCCTGGGAGTGTGGAGGCCTGGTCGAGGACCGGGCCGCGGGGACACTAAAGTCCCGAAATCATCTCAAGATAACCTCAAGATAACCTCAAGATAACCTCAAGATAACCTCAAGATAACCTCAAGATAACCTCCACCAGAACAATAAGTCTGTGAGACACACACACACGAGGTGCCAGTGGAGAAGTCTATCACGGTACATCAACCCATCAGACTGGCATTGCTCCAGGAAATTAACTCATACCCAGACAATTAATTACTGTAGATCAGATGTTCTCTGATGGGTGTCTACAGGGTGCTAATGGTAAGGCTGAAGCAACAGACACTAATTAGGAATAATGCCTTCACTAAGGACACAACATAGACTGGGAGAAATGTTCCTTAGTGCCACAGCGACGCAGAGGAGTAGTTTTTTTTTTTTATTATTTTCTACCACAGACGTGGCCAGACATTTACAATGCTAACCAGCATATATACATTTTCTTCTGTCCTCCATGGACAGGGTTAGAGAAGTGTAAAACATATAGTTCAAGGGTTTATTGAACACTCAACCACAGAAGGTGATTCGGTGCTTTTAAAATGCTAAGGTAACCTACATACGTAAATACATAGATACACAGATTTACGTATGTCCTACATAAAGCGTTAGATGTGTCTTTTACATAGTGTCATTAATGTACATTCACAAAGGTGAAATGTAATTCTGATCAGCTTCCATATATACTTTATACCCATACATATACATACATGACAGGCACTGATCCAAGAGTGGCATTGTCAAGTATAAATTATTACGCCTCTCTTCCGCCTGCGCATTAAAAATACAGATTTATAAATTTTAAGCGGTTTAAAATATCTGTGAACGTTCTTCAAGTCAGTAATTTCTCCACCTTTGGCTGGACCTGTTAGTGGGAGGACTATGTCACGGTGGTCAAGACCAGTCGTGAAGTGCCGTCATTGGTGAGGCGTCTCTACAACACTGTATTCTTGTAGTGGTTAATAACCCGCCCCCCCCCCAGCTGATACACCAAGTTACCACCACTAACACAACAAAGGTCTCAACCCAAGACGACAGCAGGACCAGAAAAGATATGATCTTGGCATAGAAAATACTGAGGTTAAGAGACAATGTTGGTCAAGAAAGGCTTCTTTAAAGCGAGGGAAAATAAGACGAGACATTAGTCTTAGCTAGAAATGCATTTAATTCATTTCCTTACATAAGAAATGTAAGGAAAAATTCGTATCTTGTACAGGTTACCTGGAGTTACCTGAAGACGGTTTTGAGAGTTTCTCTACTCCCTGAGCCAGGCCTGAGGCCAGGCTCGACTTTTGATAACTTGGTCCACCAGCCTGTTGCTTGCAGCTGCCCGCAGGCCCACATATCCACCACAGCCTGGTTGGTCCGGCACTTCTTGTAGGAACTTATCTAAGTGCATCTTGAAGACTTCCACCTTTGATCCGGCAATATTTCTTAAGACTTGCTGGGAGGGTGTTGAACAGCCGCGGACCTCTGATGTTCAGTGTTCTCTGATTGTGCCTATGGCACCTCTACTCCTCACTGGACCTCTGATGTTTATACAGTGTTCTCTGATTGTGCCTATGGCACCTCTACTCCTCACTGGACCTCTGATGTGTATACAG